TGGAGTACAGACACGACTCGTATTCTGGGTATTCTACAATGTGCAGGCGTCACTACAGCACTTTGGTACGTTCGAAACGAACTCTTATTGCGAATCATTGCTATTCTAACCACACACTCGGCAGGTTATGACTACACCTTCCGATTTCTGTGGCTGCACAACACCACTAACAATGGCATGTGAAAACTGATCGACTAGATATCAGATTTTATCGAGCTGGATTTAATGGTGTTCTGACGTAGTTCCGTTGCCTCGTGTGGCAATACCCACCAGTTCGCTCTCGTTGCTACCGCATCGTTGTGCAGTAGTTGTTGTTATGATATTTTTCAAGTATTCGTATGTGAATTTGATACGGTAAAGTACGTGCTGTAGCTACTAATTGAAGCGGCTAAAATGTTTAGCCTCAATGTTATATTCGTACTGCGCGGGGTTTACATTTCACAGTTGAGCAGATCCGGACTAATGCTCATTAATGCTGATTGTTGGGAAGCGTTGTGATGGAGGGACATAATATACTAGCACGTATTGTGCTTGTCTCCGCCTCCATGGTCAATGTGTGAGATAGGAAGACTCAGGAAAGAACTTCTCATTTAATGCACGATAGCACTGTGGAGGATCGTAGCAAAGACTGACTGAAGACAGTGGTGACGGGGAAGCCGGTTCTGTAGTGGCCAGGATAGAAACTCTCTATTATAAAGCACTTCACCTTCCATCGTTCGCAGTTTGCTAACTAATTGAAGCGAGCCCGACTCCAGAAATTAGGACACAGATATATTTTTCATGGGCGAATGGCCTCACTGGAGTGAGGATATCCAGACGCTGAGCTTGAGTTGCACCACCTGTAATATAGTACATGGTATGACGAGAAGCAGCGTTTCATGGAAGTGACGTCAGAACAGCAACAGTAAGCGATAAGAAGTGCGCCTGGCAATTCAAGTTCAAAAGCAATACCATGATTTCCGAAAAGACTACTGGTCCATACAAAGTAGAGCCTTACGGGGTGTTCCACTTCGTATAATCTCTGCCTTTCGTGCGATAATGTGTGAGCATCTCGGCAACACCTTTGCGGTTCATGACCTTTTCGCCAATTAGTGCTGGAATCTCGTCCATCCTGTACTGGTCCCAATTCTTATACATGGTGCGCCTGTACTTACGGCTCTTCAGCATGGCTTTGATGGTTTCCGTGGCGAAAGGTGGCGCATCGTTCGCTGGAACCTTCACGCCAAACCATTTCTTGAAATCGAATAACTTCTTGATGTTAACACTTCTCTCTTCTTCCACTGCGTCTGTGCGAGGAGATCGAAGAGATCTAGCATGGTTGACAGCAGCTTTTGGAGACGGGAACTGGTTGATTGAGTCTGAAGCTCGCGAAGCAGCTCCACAGGTTAGGAGAACAATAGCCAGAACTAATACAACGAAGGTCTGACGCATTCTTGATATTCAGATGCTTCCCTTGAGCCTGGAAGTGGACTTGAGTG